AAGTAAAGAATGTTTGCCTATAACAAGTCATCAGGGGGAGATACCTGACATTCGACAAAAAAAAAAGAATCTCAAAAAGGAATTAACTTTTCGAGTTCGAAGAAGTCGAACTTTTGACTCTTTTTATAGATCCCTAGATTATTCATTGTGTGCTTGATAATCGGTTTCTGAATGACAAGTGCGTCAATGTTGGGGGGAATTTTTATTTTCCGTTTCCTAATTTCGAGTGACGTTTCTTTTGATTGATGTTATCCATGACATATTTCCAATTTTCATATTCAGAATTCTAATGAAGCAAAACGATTTTTCAATTTTTTTTCTTTATCTTTAATGATCTGTAGATCCTCTATCTTATTTATCAAAAATTAATTTTTTTTTTGTACAAATCGTCGTTGTAGGTCGATCAAATGGAATTTTTCGCTTTAATGATTCCAAATTCTGAAAATTCGTTCCTGGAATTGGGTTCAAATTCGATAGCACAAATGATTTTAGAAAACTTCGCTGGCAATGGAAACTTTACTTTGAAAAATATTAATAGTAAAATTCGCTAAAGTAAATACAGAAATTCGACTTGGAAATTCGAACTAAACTGATGATTATATATTCCGCGTGTTCCTACTTAGCAGAAGAAATGATCATTACATCAGAATAATGTGAAATAAAATAAAATATAAGGTTCGTTATACATAAATAGGAAAACTTTTTGAAATAAATGTCGTTTAAGTTCCGTGTGTTTAAAGGTGGTCAAGTCCATCAGAATCGTCTTCGTGGGTTGTGTATAGGCCTTTTACAAGAAACTCGGGTGCTTCTTCAGGTTCCTCGGCATGGAAACATAATACTCTCCGACTTGAGAGAGCCTCTCCCTTGGTATCTTTCTCTTTCTCTCTCTTATTTTCTTTGTCTTTCTTTCTCTCTCCTTGTCCCGCGAAAGGCGTTACGGATCCTCGGTTTCAGTCAGTAGTCGGGCATTTAATATGGCAGCCAAGGGAGACACTGACAGATCTCGTCAATTAATAAAACGTTTCCCTGCTTATTGTCGTGGGGCTACTTGCTTATGCTCATAGTGGACTACCCTTTTCAGCTATATATATATACATACACCTGGAAGAGAACAGATCCACCGGGTGTGCGGTCCCTTGCAATGGGCTCGCTCGCGTTTTGAATGGACACATATTAATTGGTCCTGGACCTAGGGTTGGCATTAGTGAATGTATTCGTGTCGAGTTTCCACCGCGGCGATTGTTTTGCCGTAGATAACGACTTGAGTCGTCTTCAACTCGACAGACCTCCTTGCCTTATGAGTTGCCCATATTATGTCCACATTATCCTTCCGGTTTTTCATTCAAAATCCTTAATCTTTCTATCTCTTCTTTTATTTTTTTTTCTCTTCTTTATTTATTTTTTTTTTGACTAAAGTCACGTCTTTCTACGCCGTGAAAGTAGACAGATGGCTAAAATCACGTCATTTTACGTCGTGAAAATAGACAATCGGTTAAAGTCACGTCACTTTTCGGCGTGAAAATAGACAATCGGTTAAAGTCACGTCACTTTTCGGCGTGAAAATAGACAATCGGCTAAAGTCACGCCACTTTTCGGCGTGAAAATAGACAATCGGCTAAAGTCACGTCACTTTTCGTCGTGAAAATAGACAATCGACTAAAGTCACGCCACTTTTCACCGTGAAAATAGACGTTAAGAAAATAGTAAAAACAGAAAATAAATCCTGTATGAGATAAAAATTGATTCAATTTAAAAATATATTGTTCTACGTTTAGAAAATAAAATTTTCGAATTACAATATTATATATTGATCGCCTATAGTGCCAATGATAACGAAGAGAAATACAATGGAGAAAAGAAGATTTAATTCTTGTTCTGATAAATCTTGGGTATAAAGAAAAGAAATCCGATTACAAGAGCTTAAAATCAGTGACTTGGGATGTGTTTTACATTTAATATTATATCTATGGAAGATTATTATATAATTGAATATTCGATCACTATAAGACCACCAAAATAAGAAATTAATTGTAATCTGTATCTAAAGATATACACATATAGTTCCCCTTTTTTGGACAAATAGCCATTTAGAAAAAAAAAATGTGTGATTGGAAAGTATACGCGTAAGAATGAAAAAAAGTATGTCAAGGAGTACGCGATTCTATGCGACTGAAAAGATTGACGAACAAGTGACATATTGGTGCAATAAGACTTGTTGACTTTAGTCGCAATTCTCTTTGTCGGCATTTTGCTAACTTTAGCAAAATGCGAGACAAAATGTTTTTATTTTCAGAAATGAAAGCTCTCTGCTTCTTCTTTTTTTTTCTTCTTTTTCTTCCTCTAATTTTACTCCCCTTTTTACCTACAAAACGGAAGGGACGCGACTGGCACACGCAAGAAAGTGAGTGAGCTCCTAATAGCTAATAGCATTTTCTTCGCGACTGTCAAGCCTGCCAGTGCCACAGAGAGCGTGGGACACACGGATAGAGAGAGAGTAAAACAGCAAAAGACGCGACACCGACGCGGCAATCGTAAAATAAATCACATCTTTGATCTATATTAGGCAGGGCGCGGTTTCTTCCTTCCTTTACTTCGTAATGCTTTTCGTTTCAAGGTGTTTTCTCAAAGATCCCATTAAAAAAGCAAACTTTTTCACCACAACGACTCACAAAGTGCGCCATACGAAAGTCGTGTATATATACATATATATATAAACAGAAATGAATTTCAATCAAAGTCTTGACTTTGATGATGGAATATGTCCTTCATTTATGGTAAGTCACATAAAAGAAACAAAATCATAAGAATTCAAAAATTTACAAAAAGAAATAAATAATAAAATAACACTAAGAAATAAAATTAACGACAAAAGTTGTTGATTTCCGCACACTTGGAACTCACTGTGCAAAAAAAATTATGCTTTTCCGCACTGCTTTTAGAACTCTCCTGCGCATACTATGTAGAAAAGTGTATTTTTCCCCAAGGTATACAGCAAAGTTACATAAAACAGTGCAGAAAAGTATACTTTTCTGCATATAGCTTAAAGAAAAGTAATAAAAAGCGGTGCAGAAAAGTATAATTTTCTGCACAGTATGCAAAAATCAACCTTCTCTGTATTTAAAAATAAATTTTCGAATAAAAAAAAACAAGAGCGTGGTAAATGATATTTTAAAAAATGTGCTAAAGGCCAATAGGTCGTATATGGGGGTCCGAACGAATTTTGCGTCGTTTCGTTGTCCAAAAAGGTATTTGAGACGTATATATATATATACGCAAGGGGGAAATGATTTACGAAGCAAAGAGGGGAAAAATACAAGCGAAACCAAGGAACGTATATATATCTATACGACCGAACGACAGTAAATCTTGAACCGATTGACACGTGTGAAATGTGCCAGCCTACTACTCGCAAAACCCTTTGACTTCGACCCCGTACGTATATATATGCATATATTTGCCAGTAAATGTATATAGTTCAAAAATGGAACCTCCTTTTTAAAAAAAAATTCTCTATAAATTATTCATACACTGAAAAAAAAATTCTGTTTAGGCTATATTTAACATTACTTTCTAGTTATGTTAACCAGAATTCTAGTTCAATTAACTAGAATTCTCGTTAAAATAACCAGAATTCTGGTTAACCTAACCAGAATCAAAATGTTAAATATACCCTAACCAGAATTCTGGTTATTCTAACTAGAATTTTTTTCAGTGTAATTCATTCCTTTTAAATTAAATTATAAATTTTTTCATAAAAGAAAAATTTCTATCGAAACGAAAAATAGATAAAAATCGATCAGAAAAATAAATATATAGAAAAATTTGGTTAGAGAAAATATTTGTACGTTATATATATATATATATACGAGTATATAGAATATAATAAGCCTATAAACCATATCACCAATTCCGTACAAAATCGATTTCACCTCTGACCGAGAGACTGGCAGGTGTCGTAAAAATATCCCTGGAAAAGAAACTCGCTCTCGGATGAATCGGTTTTGCGCACTGTTTTTGAGTACTTTACGGGCTGCGAGGCAGTAAAGATTTTACCTCCCCCCCCCCAGACTTATCCAATAACCCTTCTTTCAAAAAAAAAAAATAAACAAACTATATACTGCCCTTCAACTGCAGACCAGTTTACAAGAATTTTCTTTTGAACAACTTTTGTTACTCTCAACTTGCAATTAACTTTCCTCTTATACATTTATAGAGAAAATAATTCATACAAATAAGAATAATAATATTAAAATTATATTCTTAATTGTGAAAAAAAATAATCGATCATTTTTTTTCCTCTTTTGTATTTTGAAGAAATAATTTGCAGGCATTATATGAGGCACCATGAAATATGAATATAGAAGAAAAATTGATGTTTTTTAAGCGAGGTGCCATATAGTGGATTGATATTTGAGTTTAGAGAATCAAGGCGTAATAAAGATTGATAGTAGATATATGAGAGACGTGCACGCAATGGTATTGAATTGTTGATTATATTCTTATCATATCTGATAGGAATGATGAGCATCGTGAATGAAATATACCATATAGTGAGATATATATATATATACTCACACCTTAGATTCATCACGAATGAGAGGCCCTATACAAAATTAGCGAGAGAGTATGAGGTGAAGTTACTGAGTGACCACAGGCATTTTGATGAATATATCTATAGAAAAGCAAACATGATATATTAAAAAATAAACGATAAATAATAATGGACAGGAACATATATATAAATTTATATATATAACGTAGAAATATTTTTGAATTGTCTCCCATTTTCCCACGATACTTTATATATATATATATATATACACATAACAAAAGTCGACTTTCTTCCTCGAAACTTTGTTGTATTCTTTCGCAACACTCGTTACTTTTTCGCAATCATTCAGTTATTTTCTCACTCTCTATTGGTTTTCATCTTTTAAAATTTTCAACCATTTTGTGCACCATATTTATTATTATTCCCGTAAATAAAAGATAAAAAAAAATTATCATTACTAATTAATTTATTACTCCAAGTATTCTTTGTTTAAAATTTAAAAATGTAGTTTCCACAATAATTATTCTTATTGAGCGTTATACTTTTCCTTGGCTCTGAAAATTGAATAAAAAGTTATTTTCAAATTTTTTTTTTTTTTTACGAAGTTTAGAAAACTAAATTATTAACAGAATTGCAGTTTTTTAACTTACAATTTTTTGATAGCTGCACAATATCCCTTAAAAATAGCTTGTCCAGAATCTTTTTTTTTATCACCAACTAATTGTTCATTTTTATCTAAACAAAGATTGATATTATCAATACTCAAATGTGACAAAATTCTAACTGCTTCATTAGTACCACAACGATTAATAACAATTCTATTCCATGTATGTTCATTGGCATCTGATGATATTGTTACACGATAAAAAATATCATTAGCTAAAGCATTTGCAATTTTTTTAGACGTATCACGACTTTTCATTAGTTGGTTAACAATTAATTCTCCTTTGGCTTGACATTTTTTTAAAAATTGTTCGCCTGATAAATTTAATTTCTCCTTTAATACATCCTCTAAAGGGCCTTTAAATTCCTCAGCAAAAACACATAACGAGCAATCTGTAATAATGTTGACGATAATAAATGATAACAAAGTATATATATATCAAAAACATTTCCACGAAGTTGCGAATTTCAGAGAGAGATTGAAATTTTGAGTAAAAGCAGATAATATGAATTTCAATGATATACTCACAAGCAAGTAAGAAGACGATAATTATAGAGAATTTCATAGTAAATATTATTCACAAAATGTGAATTTTCAAACTTTGAAAAATAAATGATGAGAAACACTTTAGAAATAGCGAAAGAATATATGACAAATAAAAATTTTATCTTTAAGTATACGCAAAGTGTAGATAGGAAAATAGTTATAAATTTGATAAAAAAAAACAAGGTCCTTAACATAAAAAGTGGACAACAACAAGTAGCAATACTTGTTTTCTTTATCTTCTATAATAGAAACACAAAACTATTGAATTGACTATAAGGAAGCGAAATTTTCCTCGACAAAAGTAATTACGAAAGTAATTACTAATTTTATTCAGTAACTATTTTTCATAATTATAATTTTATTATAATGAATATTATTATATTTTTTTATTATCTATTTTTATCACATTTTTTAAAATTATATTCCTCTATACTTCGAAATATATAGAACATATAAATTTTCTTTATAAGATTTATATTTGATTAATTTTCAACTTTTATGAAAACTAGAACAAATTTTATTAATAATCACATTTAAATTAAAAATAATTACTGAAAATTTTAACACTGACGGAAAATCGATATTCATTAAATATAAAAGAAAATTCATTCTAAATTAGAGTTAAATTAAAGATTATATAAAGTTTAGTTTGCAAATATAGCTAAAACTAGATTCATTTAAAATTACAGAAAATCTTATTTTTTAATATCATAAAATTCCACTAAATGTGATAAAATAGAACAAAAAGAAAATTATCATAAATTATAATAATATGAATAGATAAAAATATTTTTAATATAGAAATATTGTCACAGAAAAATAATTATTCAAATAAAACATTAAGAATTAAAATAATAAATTATAGAAAAATTATAATTATAGAAAATAGAAATTTTTTTTGGAGAGAGAAAAGAAACCCGCATATGGGAGATTCTTGACCTCAGTTGAACTTAAAATTATCGATATAGGTTTTACGTTAATAAAGCGAGTTATTTATTTTTTCTTTTCCCCCCCGTAGAAAATTGTGTGGCTGCTTTGGAACGAGTAGTCTGCAGACTCGCGATTAATTTTCATTTTCCAGTCTCCACGCCCACAGTGGTTGGGGTGCGCCACCCCTGATTATTTCCGCTCGCGATTCTTCCACCATCAAGTAATACAGGTTCTACTCTCCCTCCCTCCCCCCCTCTCTCTCACTCACTCTCTACCATTCGCAATATGATGATCGATCTATATATGATCCAGCAGAGATATCACGATACTAGTTTTCAATCATGATTCAGGAAATTATGAATCGAACTCGTCCTCTCAAAGGCCAAGTTTCTCTAAAAATTATTCATGTAATTTCGCATCAACAAGTGTATCTTAAATATGCGACACAATTATAATTACTAAATAATTGATAATAACCCAGGTGAAAAAATTAACGTTACTAACGTTACTAATATTACTAAAGTTAGTACCTATAAAAAAATAAAGAGTTTCTAAAATATATTTTCAAAGAAACTTTGACACTACTTTCCCATTACCACTTTCACTTTCACTTCCACTTAAACTTTTTATAATTTTCATTCACATTTCCACTTATACTTTTTCTAATTCTCATTCGCACTTCAATTCTCACTTCTACTCTTTCTAATTCTCATTCCCATTTTACTTCCACTTTTTCTAATTTTTATTCCCATTCCTATTTCCACTTCCAGTTTTTTATATTCATTGCCACTACCACTTTTTCTAATTCTCATTCCCACTTTCACTTCTATTTCCACTTGTTCCAATTTTCATTCCCATTTTCACTTCCACTTTTTTATATTCATTGCCACTTTAACTTTTTCTAATTGTAATTAAAAAAAGTGGAAATAGTTGTGTAAATGGAAATTAGAAATTAGAAAGAGTTTTAGTCGAAATGGCAACAGCTATTGAAAATTAGAAGTGGAAAAAATGGGAGTAGAAGTGGGAATGAAAATTAGAAAAAGTGGAAGTGGAAGTGGTAATGAAAATAAAAAAGTGAAAATGGGAATGAAAATTAGAAAAAGTGAAAGTGGAAATGAGAATTAGAAAGAGTGGAAGTGGGAATGGAAGTGCGAATGAGAATTATAAAAAGTGGAAGTGGTAATGTAAATAAAAAAGTGAAAGTGAAAATGGGCATGAAAATTATAAAAAGTGGAAGTGAAAATGGGAATGAGAATTAGAAAAAGTAAAAGTGGCAACGGTAATGGAAATAAAAAAGTGGGAGTAATAATAGAAATGAAAATTATAAAAAGTGCATTATTAAACATTAAATACTTCCTGGTGGTCGATTTTTGACAAGTTTCTGCAAAAATACAATTTAGAAACATTTTCTTAATTTTTTTATAGGTACTAACGTTAGTAATATTAGTAACGTTAGTAATATTAATAACGTTAGTAATGTTAATTTTTCTACCTGGGAATAATATTAATAATAATTAATTATTAAGAAAATAATAATAAATATGAATAATATAAATAATAATAAATAATAATAATAATAATAATAAAGAAAAGAAAGATAACAAAAACACTGTAAAAACTGGCCGTCTTAAAAGTGCAAAACACGTTTTGTTTTAAGATATTTTTCGCGTCTAAGACACCAAATGTGTCTTAAAATAAGACGTTTTTTGCAATTTTTAAGACGGCTAGTTTTTGCAGTGAATTCTTTCACAAAAAAAAGAAAACTAAACAATTTTTATAAGAATACATCTAAATAAAATAATCGATAGTGAAAAGTTAAGAGAGAGAGGAGAAAAAGTTTCTCGCTATCTGCAGAGACTCTCAGTGGATAAGATTTAAGTGGGTTATAATTATTTACGCTCCAAGTGACTATGGCTATTGCAAACTAAATCTGGAAAGTTTTGATTGTAAGGCAGTCGCGCTATGAAGAAGTTTTTGGCCCTGTATTTCACTTCTGTAAACACTTTTACACAAGACGGTGTGTGTATATATATATATATATATATATATATATATATATATATATATATATATATATATATATATATATATATCTGTTAACCTCGCCATACCTCTGCCATTACTGTCACCCCGTTTCAAATGTAAATTTCGAAATTTTTAACTGTTATTACATTTGCATATTGAATTCCGTATTATTATATATATATATAGTTCACTTTAAATTTTCCACTGATGTTTCTTGTTTTGTTTATGTTTCAGGTAAGTCCATTTCCTTTCCGATTTTAAATGCGACAACTGGGTCACTGTTCCAAATAATTTTTCTCAGTAAGTTCATTTTTTTTTCAAATCGAGATCATCTTTAAGGATTTTTTCTAAAAAAAAAAAATTTTTTTTCCTTTGGTAAATAGACTTTGTACAAATGTTATTTTTTTAACGTCGATGTGGTTTGTGAGAAAGATGCTTGTGACGCGCGTAACGGAATTCCACCTCGGGATTGTTTCGTTGTAACATGTAATTGACCGCGCGGTGGGTGTATCGTGCGATGGCTTACTCGTCAAGTTCGACGAACCGATTCACCAAAGGGTCAACTTCAATCTATTAGATTCAATCCTTTCGATTCTCCTTCGCTTCTGAATGCTAATAAAATTTTTTTCCTCTGATTACATAAATTTTTATCCTACGGAGAAAAAAAATTTTCACTCCTTTCTTTTTTTTTTTTTTTTGCAAAGTTTACGCTTTTCTTTAGCAGAATCATACGAATTGTATATTTTAAAAAATTAATTTTTTTCCCCAATTATTTTGTATATAGACAAAGTATCGACAATTTGTCTAGACAGAAGACACGTTTTGGGCGCAAGAAATTTGCATCTGATTCCGGTAAAATGTGGACAATTCATTGGCAAGGACCGGAATATCGACATTCCTTGTTAGCGTCAAATCGTTTATTTTTTTTTGTGTTCCTCTATATGTATACTGAAAAAAAATTCAAATACCGATGTATTTGGTTATTATTAAATAAATATTTACTTGAATCAAATATTATTTCTTATTTGAATCAAATAAATTTTTTTTTCACTGTAGAAATGATGTTCTCGTGAAATGATCATTTATCGTCAATGTATCAACTACGCGCACTGTCAAGAGAATAGTCACACATAAGACGAGTCAATTTTGAAAAGAGCTAATTTTTTTTTTATTGACCACGTCACTGGAGCGCCGATAAATGCCTTTTCGTGTGAGCTCTACAAACGTAACTTGGGCCGTGCCCTCGTATCTTGCCGCCAGCCATTTCTCAAAACGATCCTGAAGTAAACTGTTGCAAATTAAGGTTGCACAAGAAGCTAGCGGTCATTTCTCAAGCTGTCTTCTCGCATAAATTATTGCAAACGAAACGGCGAGCTGAAAGAAATGCATAAAGTGCCCCTTTGCGCCCTCTCTCTCTCTCTTTCTCATTTTCTCCTTTTTACTCATTTGACTCTTGTTGTCTCACTTTCTCCCTCTTCCTCCCTCAACTCGTATATATGTATATATTTGACTTTGTCCTTTTTCTATATATCTGCCTCTTTTTTAAAGGTGTATTCGTTTGAAGTCGATAGCGCGCACAGGTACGAGTGATTCACCGTGAAAGAAAGCATTTTTCAAGTTTTACGACTCTAAAGAGGTATCAGAAATACCCACTAGATTTTTTTTCCACCATGGATGATAATAACAATGTTATTTATCGTTTCCAGACGACGTAAAAGCTATGACTTTAAATGGACTGTAAGCTCTGCATATTGTCTATATATATATTTTTTCATCATGCGCTTCGATTACAAGATTTTTCAAACGATAAAAATACATTTGAATAATTTATGTCATTTTCGATTAATATATAATAATGATTATAATTTAAAAATTAATTCCTCTGAGGTGATGGAATTTAAAAAAAAAAAATTAAAAGGATTTTTTTTTTGTCTTGATATGAGTGGCTTAATGGTATATAAGGCGTTTGGAGAATTTTTTAAAAATGTGTTCAGTACCTTGGCAAATGAACAATAAGCCAATGATCTTCAAGGGCCAAAGCTAATGGGGAGGTATTATAAGACGAAGTCAATTATTTTATGCATATGACTAGAAGAAGCAATACAAGAAGCGAAACAAGTCAGTGCTAAATTAACTACCCAACTCAGGTTGTGTCTGCGTCTGTGTTTGTAATGTAATAA